TTTGTGAAACACTCTTGTATTTAAGAGGTAAAGCCAATAGGACTGGTTTGTTTCCTCTTGCAAAATGCTTTCTCTGCTTGCTGGTGTCTCTGTTCCAAAGGAAGAGCCTTGAAATAGGAACTTCCCCTGCTCCTTCAGGGACTAGAGGAGTGAATGACTGGTGCAGAATGAGGACTTGGTGCATGGGCATGAGATGAATGAAAAGACTGAGGAATGCATGCATAGGTGATTGTCCCAGCTTGTAAACAGTATCTGCCAGAACAGGAGCCAGACTAGGGTGAGATGGGGAGCACAACAACCTGAAGAAACTACCGTGGGAATAAATGGCCAAAGTAAGAAGGGCAGGAGCTGTGTATGGGACACAGAGCCTAGGGGCATTTCAGAGCAAGGAACCCACTCGTCTTCTGCTCAGCTAGGAAGGGTAGGCATAGGCTCACTCTGTACTGGGGCTCAGGACCAGGCAGCAAAGCAGTGCCTAAGCAGGGGACAGGAGGTGGGACTGGCGACAGCAGCAGATGGCAGACAACCACCCCCTGAGCGAGACCCGCCATGTTGTTGATGCCTACCTAGGTCTTCACTTGGATTCTCCCCTGCTCCCTGATGTAAGGATAGCCAGTGATGGATTTGTCAGAGGCCCTAAACTAATGGCTCTTCAGGATGTGTGTGGGGGTTGGTGGCGGGGGTGGGGGGGTGGGATCGGGGGTGGGGGGGTGGGATCAGGGGTGGGAAGCCATGCTGGTGCATGGCTTGTAAGTGGCTGAGGTCTATGGGAATCTTTTAGCTTTTTGGATTTAGAGATTAAGGAATGACCGGGAAAGGAAAACAGCCCATCAGAAAACCCTGGTGATCCTTGCGTCATGGCTAGAGATATGTTTGTTGTCTTCTGTGTGGTACATGGATCTCCTGAGGTTGCTCTGCGGGGGCAGTTGGAACCCTTGAGTGGGACTGATGGACCACTGACCTGTTTACCCTTGCTGGGGTTACACCCCATCCCATGGCCCTTTAGAAAGGGGCCCTAATGTTCCTCAGCTGCCCAGCTGGTTGTTGCTGAAACTCCTAGGCACTTTTTCTTAGCATAACCCTAACCAGGTGGTTCAAGCCCTGGGTACCAAATCTGACCTCTGGAGGAACAGCACTGCCCCAGGGGTCCTTTCCAAGTTGGGCCAGTGTCCTTGAGTGGCTGAACCGTGGCCACAAGCTCAGAGCTTAGAGGCAAAACCCTGAATGCTGACTCTGTAACAACAGCAAGAAGTAATAACAAGTAAAGTAGGAACTTAAATATAAACATTAAAAACTGGAAACTTTGAAAATTGCAGAAAATGAAAGAAACTTGCAAATTCTCCCTCAGTAATGTAACCCTGTCATTACTTTATACCTCGCTTGTACTTTTTGGTTTCCATGTACCTGTAGTTTAGTTACAGGAACATGCTTTGTTGTTGTGCCTCTTCCTTTTTCTTCTATTTCCACTTTGCTATTTAAAAAAAAGATTTAGGTAAAGAGCACATTACATAAAATTTATCAGCTCAATTATGTTTAAGTGTAGTGTTAAGGATGTTGGCTTTGTGCTCAAACACATCTCTGGAATGTTTCCATCTTGCATTACTGGAAACTCCATATCCACAAAGCAATCCCCTACCCCCCTTTTTCTGTGGCTCCTAGTAACCATTGTTATAATTTTGATGTTCTACTTCTTTAACGTAGCATCAAGGGATGAGTTTTTTCATTGCTATGTTTCGTTTGCACATGTATGATTTATAAAGAAGGTGATGGATACCCAAGAAGATCTAGTTTTAGAAACGAAGTTTCTTTCTACTATTCTGGTGAATGAATGATTTTGTAATGAGCTCCTGGTTCCTGTAGCATGTCTCCATATTTTGTTATATTTTGTTAGGCTGCATTCCCATGAGAAATGAGATCACTTCAATTCATAGCATGAATTACTTTCTGGAAAGTGCTTTAATTTGCATCACTTTAATTTTGAGGGGGGCATGTTCAAGAGTACAATATATTGTGTATAGTTACTCTTCTTCAACTTGACCTTCTAATTGAAGCTGTGTGTGTCTTGACAAACATCACCAGTCCCGCTAGCCCATGGTAACCGCTGTCTTACCCCTAGATCTGTGAGGGACAGCTTAGATTCCACGTGGGACTGAGAGTACGTGGCAGTTGTCTGTCTGTGGCCAGTTTATTTCACTTAACATGAAGACCTCCAGTTTCTCCCGTTTTTCTCAGATGAAAAAGTTTATTTTTTGTTTTGTTTTTTTCCTTTGATGGCTGATTCTTATTCTGTGTGTGCACTGCATTTTCTCTATCCATTCATCTGAATGTTTGTGGACGTTGAGGTTCAGTATCATTACTGTTGTGAATAATCTTGCAATAAACATTGAAGTGTAGATGCCTCATGAGTTCTGGCTTAGAGACTCAGTAGTGGGGTTGCTAAATACTGGATTGTGTAGCACTTCACCTGTTACCCTGCTTCAAGGTTCTATACCTAGCATTTTATCACACGGCCCCATCTGTCAGGGATGCTGTGTGGGATCAGCAGTCTGGCATTGGTTCCAGGAACAACACTGGAATCTGGTTAAGAAAAATGGGCATTCCACAGGCCTAGCACAATAGCCTAGTGGCTAAAGTCCTCACCTCTCAAGTGCTGGGATCCCATATGGGCGCTGGTTCTAATCCCAGCAGCTCTGCTTCCCATCTAGCTCTCTGCTTGTGGCCTGGGAAAGCAGTCAAGGACGGCCCAAAGCTTTGGGACCCTGCACCCCCATGGGAGACCCGGAAGAGGCTCCGGACTCCTGGCTTCAGATAGGCCCAGTTCCAGCCATTGCGGCTGCTTGGGGAGTGAATCAATAGACGGAAGGTCTTACTCTCTGTCTTTCCTCCTCTCTGCATATCTGACTGTCCAGTAAAAATGAATCTTAAAAAAAAAATGGGCATTCCATCTCTTTACCCCATATTCTGATTTAGTGAGACAGGCAAGCCTCTTTGGAAACTGTTTCGTACAACAAGCTGAGCAAACAAGGTATTTTTTGAGTCTTAGATATTTGAAGGAGACTTTGTGAACCAACAAAAAGCTGGACACACTGGCCTTGAGTCAGATTCTCTGCACAGTATTGCCTGGTTGCTGTTCAGTGTTTGTTGTGATAAAAAATGATCTTAATTACATGAATGGTATCTACTCTCCCTCCCCTCCCCCCCATGCTGATGCTTCATTTAGACTGTATCATTGATTGGAAGCCTTGAATTAGAATAAGTGAGAGGTGTACAGTGTTGCATTCCTCATAGCCCTCCATCAGCAGCCCTTGTTCGGACCCAGGAAGGCCTTTCTCTGGTGTTGGGGCTGTTGCTGCAGACCAAGGAGCCAGCTTCCCTGGCACTTCACTGCCCAGGTCTCTGTGATCTCCACTCTGTGTCATTGTTTCTCTCTCCCGTTTCCCCATGTCCTCTGCTTCCTGAGATGACTTCTCGGTTTTCTTCCCTCCATGAAGCTGAGTTATCAGCAGGGCCAAATCTTGTATTGGCTTACTTGTGATTCTGTCAGTCTCCCTGAGCCTTTTCCATTTTGCCAGCATTCCTTCTGATCTTGGAAATCTCAGATTTAACAAAAGTTGCGTGAACACTATTTTGCATAGAGGGTGAATTTTTTTTTTCTGCAGAAAGTCTTCATGAGGGAACTCTTTTTCAGGTGAGAGAGACACCTTCGAAGTCATAGCCTTTCCTGCTCCTCTCGTTTTACAGTCAGGTTTCTGCTCCTTGCTAACTACATAGTGCCCCTGTAGGCCCCTGGAGGACTCCTGGGTTCTCTGGTAGGTGTCTGTGGCTTCTTCCACCGCATGCTGCCAGGTCTCCTTTTAGTGTCTCGCCTGTGGCAGGATAAAGTCTTCCCCCAGTGGCACGAGGCCGTGTGATAACTCGGTTCCACCTGGTGCTTAGCACCGCTTTGGCACAAGCTGCATCAGGGGAAGATGCTTTCCAAAAATATTCCAAAGAAAATCCTCCTGGGAGTGGGTGTAATGTTTATTCATCGCGTCTCTGTGCTGTCATACTCTGTACCTTCTAAATGATTCTGCATGAGACACCAACCCATGACGCGGTGTTTTTATGTCATGAATTTGACCTTGACAGAAGCGTCATTTGCTCCTGGCTATTAAGGACAAAAACAATTTGCATTCTTTTTAAAGTTCTTGGTTATGTGTTCACCCTCTCTCACTTCTACTGAGAAACACTGCTCTCCCATTCAAGAGGAGTTGTTGCTTTCAGTAGCACCGGCATGTATGCTTCATGCTGTCAATGGGGAATTACATATTTTGATTCCTAAAGTTGTAGTGGGTTGGTCTGTGTTTTAAAGTTTTTTCTTATGTATCAATTGGAAATAAAACACAGAGCCTCGTAGGAAACAGTGCTGTAAGACAGTCCTCATCTTATCAGATGAGAAGGTAAATAGAAAAAAAATCCAGCAAAGATGTAAGGTTATCTGATTTATTCTTTTTTTTTATGACACAGTTTAATAGACACTGTGGTATCCCCTCCCCTCCGCATTGCTCTCCACTCCGATCTTACAATGGGTGTCTTTCATGAACCCTCACAAGTCCATTATGTTGCCACTGAGGTGTCTCCCAACATGTAGGAGATTATACTTGATTTATTCTTAATTTGCTCTTAGCATAGGCTACCCTGTGCCATCACAGCGCCCAGTATTTTGGAGAGACAAAATCCCACCAGAGATGGGCCAGTGAAGGGTCCCTCTGGGCCTTCTCCAGGGCCCCTCCTTAGCATGATTCCCCAAGCACCACCCTGCCTGCAAAAGTCAGTTCAACTGCTGAGCGGAAACCAGCTCTCCATCACAGTGCAGCAGTGTGTTCCGGGTACTGGCTCTTCTGTCTCCTGCAAGCACCTCCTGCCCTTCCCACCTTGGCAGCTTGTGTGTCAGGTGGCCAGCTGCGAAGATGAAGACCACGTGCTGAAAATAATGCTTCTCCTTTCCCTTCTCTCTGCAGGTTTGAGGTTTCTAAGAGCTCTCAGACTGATACAGTTTTCAGAAATTTTGCAGTTTCTGAATATTCTGAAAACAAGGTAAGAGTTGCTTCTCATATCTGCATTCTCCCCATCCCCCCACCCCACCACTACTCTCAGTTCCCAAGTGGCAAATGCCAGGTGTGTTTGCAGCTGGAGTTTTCTCTGGCACAGTGGTGTGCCCCACCCCTTTGTCCTCCGAGATGGAGAGGGAGCCCAGAAGGTGGTTTTGCTACTGTTCTCTTCAGGGTGGGAAATCACCAGCAAAAGAGAGGAACAGCTGTACATTTGGGGGGGATAGAGACTGTGTGTGTGTGTGTGTGTCTGATCTCTCAGTTACCCCAGTGGGCTTGGTGTCAGGGGAGCAAGGCACACAGTGGATGGGCCATGGATTTGCTCATGCCCTGGGAAGTCCTTTCTGTCAGGTGCTCAATGGTCCCGTTATGACATAACTGAAGAATAAATTGAATGCGGTTGTAAAGGCATGAGAAGCGCTGCTCTTTGAAAGGCAGTCACAAACCTCTTACAACAATCCAAAAACCATTTCCTTTCCCAGTATATTTTAGTTCAGTTCAGATCCAGAGGGTCCCTGGGGTTTGCTCTCTGAACGCCTGTTTCGGGGGACCGGCGGGCGGGGAACACCCGAGGACCTCCTGGCAAGCCTGGCCACTTCAGTTAACTGCATTATGATCTGGAAAACGTGAGCGGGCCAGGAGGGAAATCTCCCAGGACTCCCTCCTGATGACCTGCTGGGCCACAGAGCTGGCCCGAAACCAGGACCGTCTTGATGAATAAACTCATAAAAGAGGTTAGACGGCCTCTAATGGGGGATAAGTACAGCTCGTAAATTTCTCTTCTAGGAAATTACACTTGAAGAGACTCACTTCTTCATGTTCGTTTCCTCTTTGGGTGCCCTTAATGTGCTGGCTAAATGATTAGAAACAGGGCGCTCTCTATATTTGGTGGTTTATAATGAACATACCTGCAGCTTAAAGGCCTGGGTTTAGCATCGTCCCCCACCCGCCAACTTTTCTCCCCTCCCCCAATAATGGAGGCTAAACTCCTGGCTCCTGAACCTGGCAGCCCTCCCAGTTCAAATAATTGGCCCTTCTCCTGAGGTGTGAGTGTTGTGTGGTGGGTGATTTTCTGTACTGGTAATCGTCTATGGAAAATTCTCTTTGTTAGCCGAATTAGCCAGAAAAGGAGGATCCTTTTTGTTATCCTGGGTATAATTTATTTATTGATCTATTTATTAATGAGGAGCGCCCTTCATACAGGACAGATCTCTGTAGCGTTTGAGAATATATGTGGATTTCAACAAAGGCAGTAAAAGAAACATCTTGTCATTCCATTTTCCCATGGACTCTAACATGTTCTCATGTAGTAATGAAGTTATTCCCCCTGTTTTCCTCTGAGCAACAACAATTTTGATTTCTGCCTTTGCACGGCAATTCTCTGAGTAGACTTACATTCCTCTTGACATTTAAGTGATTGACAAGGATAGCATCTCCAATATTCACCTGTATCATGATTAAATATATATATATATATACTTGAGAGGGAGAGAGACATGGCATACCTATTCACTGCTCACTCCCCAAATGCTCATCTGTGCTGGAGCAGGGCCGGGCCGAAGCTGGGCATGCGACACACATCTCCAAGTGGCTGGCAGGAATCCAGGTACCTACCTGATCAGCGACCCTCTGGGCACTGCCTTAGCAGGAAGCTGGAGTCAGGAGCTGGAGGTTTGGGATGCAGGATGTTTTTTAAAATATATATATATGTTTGGCCCAGTGCGGTGGCACAGTGGTTAAGGTCCTCGCCTTGCACGCCTGGGATCACATATGGGTGCCAGTTCTAATCCCGGCAGCCCCGCTTCCCTTCCAGCTCCCTGCCTGTGGCCTGGGAAAGCAGTCGAGGACGGCCCAAAGCTTTGGGACCCTGCACCCGCGTGGGAGACCCAGAAGAGGCTCCTGGCTTCGGATCGGCATAGTATCGGCGGTTGCGCTCACTTGGGGAGTGAATCATCGGACGGAAGATCTTCCTCTTTATCTCTCCTCTCTGTATATCTGCCTTTCCAATAAAAAAAAATAAAAAATATATATATATGTTTTATTTTTATTTATTTGAAAGAGAGAGAGAGAAAGAAAAGAGATCGTTCTGCAGTATGGCTGCAGGTTGCCAAGCACTCGGGCCATTCTCCACTGCTTTTTCAGACCATAAATAGGAAGATGGAGGAGAAATGGAGCAGCTGGGATGCGAACTGACCCGCAGGTGGGATGCTGGTGCTGCAGGTGATGGCTTGACACATGGTATCACAGCACTAGTCCCTGGATGAATTTCTCTCTCTCTCTTTTTAAAGATTTATTTATTTTTATTGGAAAGTCAGATTTATGGAGAGAAGGAGATACAGAGAGAAGAACTTCCGTCTGCTGGTTCACTCCCCAAGTGGCTGCAACAGCAGTAGCTAAGCCAAGCTGAAGCCAGGAACTTCTTCTAATGTCCCATGGCACTCAGTTGTCCTCCACTGCTTTGCTTTCCCAGGTCACAAGCAGGGAACTGGATGGGAAGATCAGCTGGGACACGAACCAGCGCCCATGTGGGATACTGCTGCATGCAAGGCAAGGATTTAGTCATTAGGCTACCATGCCAGGCCATGGATATAATATTCTTAATGACTGTCTTAATTTCTAGGCTAAATGCCCACTTCTGCACTGTATTTTTTTTTAAAAAGATTTATTTATTTATTGGAAAGTCAGATATACAGAGAGGAGGGGAGACAGAGAGGAAGATCTTCTGTCCATTGATTCACTCCCCAAGTGAGCGCAACGGCCGATGCTATGCCGATCTGAAGCCGGGATCCAGGAATTTCTTCTGGGTATCCCACACGGGTGCAAGGTCCCAAAGCTTTGCACCGAACTCGACTGCTTTCCCAGGCCACAAGCAGAGAGCTGGATGGGAAGTGGAGCTGCCGGGATTAGAACCGGCGCCCATATGGGATCCCAGGCGTGTTCAAAGTGAGGACTTTAGCCACTAGGCCATGCCGCCGGGCCCTGCACCGTATCTTAATGGTAGAATTGGTGAGTAACCAGAGCCTAGGCCCCTATCTATCTATCTATCTATCTATCTATCTATCTATCTATCTATCTATCTATCTCTTCACATTCCCCTTGGGCGTGTAGTTCAGAGTGACAGAGCAGCTGGATCTCTGTGACCTGATTCCCATTCTTTAGAGGAAAGTGCCTTCCCTCCTGTGGATGCAGAAAGCAGCTCTGGCATCCCTAGCCAGCACAGTACCTTCTAACCACACTGTCAGGGCTGGCTCATTGTCTCAGTATGGAAAGGGGAAGCCTGGTTTGGGCAGACACATGGAGGAAGCCTGGTAGGGTATTTGCCATCTGGGCCCCAAACCACATTTTCCCAGCATCACATTGTATACCAGATTGAACTTGCGTGGTTGGGGGATATTTTCATTATAATCCTGGAATTTAGGTTTTTCTGAGTTCCCACCACGTGGGGTCACAGACAGGGAACTGAGTTAATCTAATAAGGCCAACCTCAAGGTGGGCGTGCAGGTACTGTACTGCTGCCAGCAAGGTCCCAAGAGGCGGTGTGGGGGCAATGGGGACTGCCTGAGTGCTGAGACAGGTGCCCAGGGTTGAGAAGCATGGGAAGGAGTGAGTCGGTCTGGAGCAGCATGAGCTATGAGGCAGCTGAGGATATTCACAAGGAGCAGTGTGGGTATCTTAGGTAAGCCTTTCAGAAAGCTGGGTGCCACCCCAGGGCTCGGGGCTCGGGAGAAGGGGAGGCTGACTTCCAGCCAAGGTTGAAGAAAGTGCAAAGGTAGGAGGACCCAGTCCGGGGGAGTCCTGAGAATTGGTTCTGTGCTTCTGGCTGGTGGGGCTCCGGGGAGGGAAATGAAGACTGTTAGGCAGGTAGGCAAAGGCCAGGATGCCGGATGAGTGCTTCGCTGAATGACTGGGACTCTGGGAGCCTGAGGATGACTGTGGACCTCCTCTCTCTCCATGTGCCCGGCTATCTCAGCTCTTTGCTTCTGAGCACAGACCCCGGAGGTCTGCTGCAGAGAGAAGGAAGCCCAGGCCTTGCGATAGGACTGGGACCCCGAGCAGCTCTCCTGGGAGCCCTCTCTACTCTGCTGGTCTCTAGGGAAGGTGGAGTCACATGATCATCTTTAGGGATATCTTGTCTGACTCTGACAGTGCATCCCTGGCAAACGTTAGCATTAGGTAGGGATGGAGGCCTTGTCGTTGCGATGGGAGGTCATGATGTGAAGTTGCTGCTTCATTTTTCAGTTATTCTGCAGCCTCCTTCTACCCAGAGCTGGAAGAAGCAGAGCAGAGGAACCTAGGGGGAGAAATGAGGAAGAACTGGAGAAGGAAGAGGGTATTAGAAAGCAATGAGACCACAGGGCAAGTCGCGGCTAGGTGGCCAGCATCAGGACCACTCGCACACTGGGAGCCAGCAGAGGATCACGCATTTGCATTCCAGAAGTGGTCTTCCATTCAGAGGAAGCCCGGGTGGGTCTCTGCTGTTGCCTGAGCTCTTGGCACTTCCTCAGAGCCCCTGCAGCCTCCAGGGAGCTCATTTGTGGGTGGTAGAATCCATAGTCTACTGGCCAAGTGGCCCTGTTCAAAGGGGTTCGTCACACACCTCACTGAACGTGGTAGCTCTTGATCATTACAACATGGCTCACCTAGCTTAGTGTAAAATCATGTTCCTTGTAAACGTTCCAACAATTCAGAAAAGCAGGAAGGATAAAGGGAAATAGCTTGCACAACACTATCATGTTTCCTGCCTGCCCCATCCTGTTTATTTCCCACAGAGCATCTGTGAGTACAATCCTTTACCTAGGGCGTCTGGAGAGGAGAGCCGTTGGAGAACTTGACTACCTAGATGGCCTTGGGAGAGCCTCCCAGGTGAAGTCTGTGGGCAGAGCTTTTGATTTAGGAGCTCCTGGAGAGGAACAGGCAGAGACCAAAGCTAGGCAGGCTCTTCGGCTTCTGGATGTTACTGAGATCAAGAGAGAGCTGCTAAAGGACTTTACTCAGCAGAGGAAATGTGACCAAATTTGCGCTGTAGGAAGAGCCATCCATTCACCAAGTGTTAGCAATAGGTTTGAAACCCTTAACACCAGGGGAATGCAAAGGCCTGGCCAGGGCCAGTTGTCTTGTGGAGGGTGTAAGGGAATGGTTCTTTGCAGTGCGAGGTGGGGTCCACAGAATCCCAAGCGGGACTCGACGGGACTTGACTTTGCTCCATTCCGTGTCTTACTACGCAGATCACTCCTCTCGGTGTGAAGCTGTCCAGTTGTTGTTACTGGCAGTTTATGTTGTACATACAATAGAGGCAGCAGACACTGTAAGGACCCTGGCACCTGGCATATGTACCCTTGGCCCCGAATGAAGAGGAAAATTGGAGGCAACCAGAGCAGGGACAGATGTGTGCTACTTGATGTGCAATTGATGCCATTTCCAGTGTTAACCAAAGTTTAGCTTGGTAAATGCTTAGAGGGCAAAGACAGCCACAGCTGCCCTGGGTTTGCAGCCTCATCCCAGCAGTCACACAGTCTCTCCCAGCATCCAGGAAGTCCTAGGAAAAGGCTCTGATCTTGTGGGAATTGCGTGCCTTCCCAAGGGGGAGTCATTGTGTCCACTGCTCTATGCCCATTACTGTAATGGCCAGTGGCCTGCCCCAAATCCAGCCCTCTCATGAGGGCACAGCAAGGAGGGATCTGGCATCTGAGTGGTTGTGAATATCCTGTCCACTGGCAGCCACATACTTGGCCCAGAGTCTGTGCTCCAAGTCCCATGGACTCCTTTGCCCCACACAATGTGCCTCTCTGTTCCTATACCCCACCCCTCCATGGGGGGAACCCCCCTCAACCCTGAATGCCCTGTACCTCAGAGGATGCAGAGGGCCCACAGGGGTTAATCTTGCATCTCTTGTCAGTAGCTTTCAGCTGATTGCTTGGACCATGGAGTTTAATTTGGGAAGCAAATTCCTAACACTAGGAATCTGTGATAATGTTGATGTCATAAAAATAATCAGATTTCAGGACTGAACGCCGACTCCTTAAGTAACAGTGATTAAATGCTCCACACACAGCGAGCACTCCCTTAAGTACCATTAATATCACGGTGACAGGCATTTAGACTTTAATAATCACCACATTTAGGTCATTTTTTTTCCAAGGCACCGAGAGGCTTAGAGCCGCCAATAGGTTTTATGTCTCAGTTGGTGGTGCTCTGCTTCGTTCAAGCCTCCCAGGACCTAGGACTGTGTAAGAATCAACCTGAGCTAATGGAGAAGGCATGCTTCCCAGGATTGCTCCCTTTGCGCCTGGCTCTCTGTTCTTCATCTATTTCTTCCTCTCCAGTGTGCGAAACATGTTAGACGACTTGCAAGGTAGAGGCAGGGGGAGGAAGCTCCCCTCTTTTGGTTTTCCACTGAGAAACATGTTGAGAGTAGGAGGTGCTGGTGTTGCAGTCACATCTCTAAAAAGCATGCTTGGGCACAGCGGCTCAACAGGCTAATCCTTTACCTGGAAGTGCTGATATCTCATGTGGGCACCAGTTCGTATTCCTGGTTGCTCCACTTCCCATCCAGCTCCCTGCTGATGGCCTGGGAAGGCAACAGAGGATGGATCAGGTGCCCGTATGGGATACCAGCACTGTGAGTAGAAGCTTAACCAGTTTTGCCACAGTTCTGGGCCCTGGACAGTACCTTCTGTCCTTTTCATCTCCTATCTGTGGAGTGGGGTGAGGTTTGACTTGCCTTTGGCAGTCCAGGTCAACCTTCTCATAGGTCCCAGTCTGTGCCCAGGGAACTGTCTTGTCATGGTCCAGAGTATACTTTCTGTGGCCAGACTGCCTGGTTCACGTTGCAGCTCTGTTGCTTCCTGGGGGAAATGACTGGGCTGGGTTAACATGGCGTGAACTCCTGCAGTCATTATGAGGACTAAATGAAGGAGCACACGTGAGATGGTGTACGTGTGGTGAGCAGCACAGATGCTCCTTCAAACACTGTGATTTAAAACTCTTAGACCCGGGCCATCCTCTACTGACCCTGTGCCCGTGTGGGAGACCTGAAAGAAGCTCCTGGCTCCTGACTCCTGGCTTTGGATTGGCTCATCTCTGGGGGAGTGAACCAGTGGATGGAAGATCTGTCCCAACTCATGCCATGTCAATCGTTGCTTCCCTGAGAGAGATGGGAGAGGATAATAGAGATGACTTGACCGACAGTGGCGAGCTGAGGCTGGAGGCTGTCCCGGGCCACCCCGGGAGACAGAGACAGAAGACAGACACCCTTCTGCCAGGCGCAGCAAGGAACAGGGGGAGTGAAAGAGAACGAAGATTGAAGGATGACTGCCGGTTAGAGCCAGGGGGCTTCCCTTAGTATTGCAGGTGGGCGTAAAGGCTTGAACAGCCACGGAGGTATGGCAAGTACTTAGGTAAACAGGACAGCTGTGGAGTTGAGTGGCTGCCTCCACTGAGCTCTGCAGACAGGTTTGGCTGGGCTAATGGTTTCAAGAGTTGGTGTGGATGCCCAGTGGTAGGAACGTCCAGGGCTTCACAGGAAACTGACCATGGAGGTGGAGAGTTTGGACAGTACATCTTGGTCAACAAGAAGCCTTTGGAGAGTCAGAGAGCCACTGTCCCCAGCAGCTGAGGAGCTGTATCCCAATGAGGTGCAGTAGGAATAGCTCGGAGAAAGAGACCAGTCCCCTCGGAGCACGTTCACAGAGGCGCCACGAGGCGGGGAATGCGTGCTCCTGGAAAGAAGGCAGACAAGGCCCTGGCACTCACAGATGTTACTGCACAGTGCGGGCCACTTATTCCATGCAAGGAGCATCAGGGGGTGTTCCAGGTGTTAGGTGAGAGGTTGTCAGGTAACAGGCCAGGTGGTCTTGGAGACTCACAATTGAATGTCATTGAAAACAAGCCCCAAGGAAGTGTGTGCTGTTACTTTGTAAAGGGACTGAGGCACCATGCTACATGGGCCAGTCCAGCGTTGTTTTGCCAGTAAAGTTTTATTGGAACACAGCCACGTCCACTCCTCTTTGTAGGGATTCAGGGCTGCATTTATTCCCTGGAGGCCGAGTAGCAGCAGAGAATGAATGACCTGAAAAGCCGAGCATAGAGACTGTGTGTCACCATACAGAGAACGTGTCCCAGCTTCTGCGCGAAGGCATCCTGACAGCCAAAGCAGCGCGTGAACTTTGACTAGCTCCAGGAGCTGGTGGCAAAGCGAGAGGAAGCGCCATTGCACATCATCTGGGGGCAGCTGGAGCCACTGAATGGGGATGGCGGCCAGGGGGGTATAATCCACGCACACCCATTCTTGGTTGTGACAGTGGTATCGTGAACGTATCACACACATTCCGTTTTGTTTTTTAAAGATTTATTCACTTATTTGGAAGGCAGAGCCTACAAAGAGAGAAGGTAAGACAGAGAAGGTCTTTCATCACCTCTGCCTCACTCCCCAACTGACCGCAGCAGCCAGAGCTGAATCTGTCTGAAGCCAGGAGCCAGGAACTTTTTCCTGGTTTCCTCCATGGGTGCAGGGTCCCAGGGACTTAAGCCATCCGTCGCTGCTTTCCCAGGCCGCAGGCAGGGAACCGGATGGGGAGTGGAACAGCGGGGGCTTGAACCGGTGCCCATGCGGGATGCCTGTGTCCCAGGATAGAGGATTTGCTTTGTGCACCATCATAGAGGTCCCACACGGCTTTTCTTCTTATGCCTTGAGAGCTGAAGTGTGTAAGAGTCATACTGCTACGTCCACCATTTATTTGTAAGCAGGTTGGTCAAAGAAACTTTTTAAAAACAAAAAGCAAAAATGAAGGTTAAGCAATATGACAGTATCTTAATAATTTATAAATTTGGGTAGAGGGCACACAGGGGTTCGTTATTACCATTCTTTCCATTTTTCTGTGGGCTTAAAGACTTTTCATAATCAGAAGTTAACACTGCCATCAGCTCTAACAAAAGGTTAAGGTTGACCTTGTCCAGCAGTCCTGGCGCGATGTTCCTGCAGACTCCATCCTGGTCCTCAGGCCTGGCCAAGTCGCCTGGTCTAACGCGAGTCTCTTTCCTCAATGACACCTGGCCTTTGGGGGTGGCCCGCTTCTCCCCAGGCAGCCGCACCGGGCCTGCCCTTTCTGACCTGACCATTTTGCTTGTTGTCTCTGCACAGTAATTCCATCAAGCTGGTGAATCTGCTGTCCATCTTCATCAGCACCTGGCTAACTGCGGCCGGCTTCATCCACTTGGTAAGTAGCCCGGCTTGCCCGGAACAAGCCCCAGAAACATCTCTTGCTGGAGAGAAACTTGAACCCAGTGTTAGTAGGAAAAAGCAGATGCAACAGTGCAGCAGCCTGGTTTCCTGGCCTTTCATGTTAGGCTAGTTCCAAATGGCAGGGCATGATCCCAGAAGGAATATATTCAGCTATGGTGGTGTTTTCTGTCTGTGTGCAATAACCCAAAAGCACCACAAGATGGCAGTGCTTCCTCAGCAAACACCGAGGAAAGCGCTGGGAGGAGATTGTAAATTGCACCCACAGGTCTTAGTAAACAACTTCAGATTCCTCAGTTTCTCTCTACCCTTCACCCCCCCACCCCCCGTGGTGGAAAGTTACAATTAATTTTGCCTTTTGCCTGATGGCACCTCTGTCTAGTACCTCAGTGCTGTTTGCTATTAGCAACTTTGCCAAAGCTTCACCTTAGCAAGTCAAGGTCTTCCCACCTCGCTAAGGCTGGTGGAACCCAGCGATTGTTGGAAAGTTTCATGGGAACATAGACTCTCAGGACTATGCAATTTTGAGACTTTGAGGAGGTCTTTCCTCCCCCAGCCACTGGCTGCACACAGGACGGGAGGATGCATGCAGTCATCCACCATCCAGAGGAAGACAGGCCTGGGAAGGGAGCCAGGGGCTCACTTGCAGTCACCAGATCTGGGGGTCCCCCTCCCAGGCCTTGGTGCTGTTGGAATGCTTGGCTGGAATCACTCCTTAGCGCCTTCATTCTTCTTGTCACCAAGCACCAACTGCCTAAACCAGAGATGTGGAGGAGGCCATTGTCTTCAGGGATGCCTGGGAAATGGGTGTGTGCTGGGGGCCAGCTCCAACGTGGGGGAAGTAGGAGGGATGGAGGAGGAGAGCTGGGAATGCTCAGCAGAAGCAGAGCTGGAGGCTTGGGCGCCCCCTGCGGGCCATGTTAGGGATAGCGGGCATTGACTTCCAGCATCAAGGCAGCTGGAATCCGGCTGGAGATGGCCACATCACTCCCTTTCTCCTGGGAGTAGAGTACTTCTATCTGTTCCACAACCTGGTGGGATGAGAGGACAGCAAACCGGTACCTGAGCCCATGTTCTCCAAATCCGCCCATGCCTGCCCATTCAAAGAAGCGTGGCCTCCTGCTGGTGTCCCCTCAACGCAGGGCTGATCCCACAGAGGGTATGTTTGCAGGTCATTGGCCAGGAGCATTGTCGGGAGCACACATTCTGGGCTCCTGGTAAAATTCCTGTGACCTCCAGGGTCACAGCTGTTGATTTGTTGCCCTGGAAAGGGAATCTGGTGCATGGAATGCCGTTTGCAAACTGCCTGGAGAGAGGTGCAGGGCCAGGGCACAGCAGACAGCTGCTGTGTCACAAAGCCCCCCTGACAGGAGGCTCCTGTGCCTGCAGAGAGAAATCAGGGGAGAGCGGGCCACACTGTGCCTGAAGAAGGCTGCGGCCAGCTGAGCAGAGGCAGTGGCCTGGATTTGAGCTGTGAGAAGAGTCGCAGGGGAGAGACCACCCCGAGTCCTTGGGCCTCTCTTCTCGGCTCCCCAAAGCCTTCGCAGGGGGTGCTGCACCTCCAGCATCTCGCCCACACGCAGGTGGTTCTGGCTGCCGGAGCTTGGCGCAGGGCATCAGGGCAGCAGGAGAGGGCAGAGATGTGACCGTTTTTCTCTCTTCTCCTCTCCCTCCCCGTTGTTTTAGGTGGAAAATTCAGGAGACCCATGGGAGAACTTCCAGAACAACCAGGCTCTCACCTACTGGGAGTGCGTCTATCTCCTCATGGTCACCATGTCCACCGTGGGTTACGGGGACGTGTACGCAAAAACCACGCTCGGGCGCCTCTTCATGGTCTTCTTCATCCTCGGGGGACTGGTAAAATCCTTTTATTACCTCGTTGGTTCTTGTGGCAGCGAAAATTCTCTGTCGTCTGTTCGCGTAGCAGGTTATGTTTGTACACTAGTCTCCGTGCTGGCAGCTGGTGGTGGCCTCCGTGTCGCGGTCCAGTTGAGCCAACAGACTGGCCAGGGTGACTTTCCCGCCCACTTTTTGAAGCATTGCTGGAATCGGGAGGACCCAGGCCCGTGGTCTGTCTCGGGGACAGCCACTAAGCCGAGAGCAAACCTCGCCATCCTAGGAAAGGGATGTGGCAATAAGTCGCTTAGTCAAAGGGATCAGCTTGTCCAGCGAGGACGGTGGCAGTCCCTTAGCCCTTGCGGGAGGCGCCGTCCATACTGTGTAGAGGGTTTGCGGTTTCAAGAGCTCCCCCTGCCCTGCCCTTTCACGTTCCTCTCCCACCTCCAACAAACACTGTGGCTGGTGCCCACCTCCCCCCGCAGCAGACAGAGGTGCCTCAGACCCGAGCAGCCAGCGTGTGGTTCTGGAAGAAGCCCACTCGCTTCTTTAGCAACACGGCGGGGGGGTGGGGGGTGGGCATCATTTCTCATCCTTTTGCAAGTCCGTTTGTTTCACTCCTGGCTTCGCTGCTCAGTGGCAGTAAGCTGCCAGTCCGTGATGTTGGCCGAGGGCGTGTCAGGCAAGCTCCCTTGGAGCGTAGGTTTCAGCTGTGTGCGAGGCACAAGTCCCACTTCCCACACAGCTCGCACGTGTGTACACTGCATGCACATTTAGGAGCATGTCTGCCTCCCTTGTGTGTTTGCATGGGACACAAGCATTTGGAAAATGTGTATCGATGTGCCCAGCACATGTACATTCCCACGAGCGTCCCTGCAGGCCCTAGACGAGGCTTCCCCACGCTTCCAGCCACAAGCAAGATGTTTGTTGGACAAAACATGGCACATTTGTGGTTTTTATTCCCCCCACCTCCCCGGCTGTCTATTCCTCTCGTGCGATCTTCTCAAGTTTTAGTGATTTTTTTTTTTAATTAAAAAAAAATTGCTCGTGTTTTAGTCATCTTTTGGTGTTCATTGGTTTTCATCCCCTCCCCCTCCCAACAGGAGACATGAATGCTCCTTGGAATTTTAACCAGAAAAGTCTTTCTGTGAAAATATAAATGCATGTGTGGCATGTGTGTGCGTGTGAGTGCATGTTTAATTTCACTGACATGCACCCTGCTTGCTTCTCTGCCTTCTGAAAGAAGAGCTAAACATCCACGTAGCCATCCCTGTCTCCTTTCATTTTTCTCGATTGTGTGTGTATTTTTTTTTTTAAGTTGTCCACATCAGCTAAAGCTTACAGTTCCAGGAGCGTACCCTGTTGGGGGTTCTTTCCGAAGTCTAACCCCTGTGTGTTTTCACACCTTAGTGTCCCCCTCCTGGAAGCACCCTGCCCCTCTTGGGCCTGGTCTGTTCAGCCTCTCTTCTGTCTCCTATCTCTTCCTCAGGCCATGTTTGCCAGCTACGTCCCTGAAATCATAGAGCTCATAGGAAACCGCAAGAAATACGGGGGCTCCTATAGTGCGGTTAGTGGAAGAAAGTAAGTATGCCGAGAGGTTTTGCCACCTCGCCCGTGGGAGATTCCCTCTGCATGCTATTTTTTTTTTTTTTTGGCTCTTGTTTCTTTGTCTCGTGCATGTAGGCAATGTTTGCCCGCTACGTACCTGAAATTGCTGCTCTCATCCTGAATCGGAATAAATTCGGCGGGACTTTTAACAAACATGGAGGCAGAAAGTAAGTCAGCTGTGTTGAGTGACTTTGCCAGAGCCCCTGGGCGGTGACCTTGAATCCTGCCCTTGTCCCAGCCCGCGTCTCAGAGGGGAAAACCCAGGGGACCTTGCATGGGGTATATGTCAGGTTACCCCCAGGAAAGTTGCCATCCTGGGACTGACTCCCTAGGCCTTGTTCCCATTCACAATCTCCAAGAAATGTGATGGGTTTATCTCAGAAAGGTATGCTGCTGAGCCTCTAGGTTCTGTCGTCCCCTAAGATGTGAACCAATCTTAGGTGTTCTTCATACGGACTGGCTATGCAATTTCACTGTTGGTCCCTTCAGTGAAAGTGGCGCCATCCTGTGGTAGGTCTTGTGCAGCAGGCACGGGGGACACAGCTCTAGCTGCAGAGTCCTTGGGAGGGCCAGGTCCAGCAGGGAATCAGCCGCAGGCAGCGATCACATCCTCAAAGGGAATTATTTACTCACTGGAGATTTCTTCTGGGACAGGAATTGCTGTGGCTAGCGAAGATCATGGCCTTACCTGGTATTCCTGACCTGCCTTCTCTTTGGTGTCCCATACAAATGGTGCAGCCTTTCCTTTGGCACTGGGCTCACTCGATGGGTGTCAGCTTTCCACAGATGGCTCAATCCAACATGGACAAGAAGTCCCCTCCCCACCCCACACGTAGCACTGTCTCAAGAGAAACGCTGAACACAGGTGGTTCTGTTCTGCCTTCTATTTGCTCTACTTTTCCCAAGAACCTTCTTAGGGGTCTTGGGTTGGTTTGTTTTGTTTTTGAAATACAAATTAAGCAGTGTGAAAGGGACATAATTTTATGGCACAGCTAAGGCCCCAAGTATCTTCCATCCCACCATCCCATTGCACATACAGAAAATTTCCATCAGTGCTCACCAATCACGGAAGTGCCAAGCATAAAGCTGTGGGGCCTTTTATTGTCTTCTCACTTGTTTTCAAATAACCCCTTGATTTTTTTTTTTTCACTTTAAAGCAAAATTCAACTGGTAGCATTATTTGTCCTTATTTCACTGCTGCTTCCCTTCTTGACAGTTGGCTGTGCTGGTGCGCGCGGCCCCGCCTCTCTGCTCAGTGATTCCAACGTAGCATGAGCTCAGGTGGCCAGTCCTCCATTCAGAAAATGAGTAGGTGGGAAAAGGGCTCATTTTCTTTAACTACCCACGAGATACCCATTTCTGCTCGAAGGCACAGAGGACAGTGGGTGAGGCCAGTTGGCATCTTGTCGGTGGATGCAGCATATCCCTTCATATCACCTCTAACGGACCCCTCCTTTCTCTATTATCTTCCTGGATGAGGTTAGAACCAAGCTGTTCTGATTTCTGGGCTATTGTTGGATCCAAAAGGCCAAATAAGTCCAAAGATTTCCCCTTGGTCATTTATCCCATGCCAAGAGGCAAATAGCTTCTCAATTTGTTTTGCTTTTGAGGTATGGACAAGTCTCTATAAAGCAGAAGGCGTTCTCAGGGCCCAATGCTTCCTTTATGGCCTCCCCATGCCACAGTCTCGGCCAGAATTTCCTTATTGCTGTCTCTGAAGAAGTCCGTGGAATCAATTACCCTAAAATCAAGACTGAAAATATTTCTTGACTCTCATTCCAGGTTAATTTTTATTTTGTTTTGTGTTTTTGATCTGGGATAGTTTTGCTGCTCATTGGTAGGTGGACTGTGTTTGGCAGCTTTTGTTGATGGGTGGCCCAGATTAGGCTGCCAGTCCCACCCTTGCTCACTCACCTACCCTTGGTCTGTTCTGGTCATCTTTTAGCTTTGGCATTTCGCATCCAATCCCCCACCTGCTGATGACTTCAGATCACAGGCTTCCTGCAGTTTTGTTCTGATTCTGTAATCTTTTATCATTGCTTTTAGCCTGCTTCTCTCTTTCTCTCTTTTATTTGTCTTCATTTATGAAAATGCACTTTGCTTTTCATGTTCTTATTGGATCTCCAATGTCCCTCAACCCTGGGGACAAAGAGTCCACCCCGTCATCAACACGGGGACTGTTCACTTTACTTTACACATTGTGCCCTAGTTCAAAAGCTAATTACTAAGTAGTTTAAAGTAGTCCTTTGGTCACTTAGATCTTTCATCAGAAAATATAAGCCTGGGAAAGGAACGGTAATAAAGGGCCATTAGCACCCTTTGTTTGATGTTGTTTTCCCAGTCAGTAGAACAAGATTGATGAAATGTTATGTTTGGCCAAAATTTGAGTTTTCATTTGGAATTCAGTGTTGAGAGAATGGGCTGTCAGAATCAATAAGTTTTCTTGCGCTTGGGATATGGGCATGTGGTAGTAATTAGCAATATAAGGTCTTTAGTTGAGCAACCAAGCATGGATTCTGGCAGCAAACATAATGAGAAACTACAGTTGTTCTATTTCTAACGTCAAAAAGTTTCCAGATAAAATTAAATGCATTTGCAAAAGGAAAGCAGCTAAACTTTGTTGAAAGATAGAGTTCAGACTCTTAAAATAGCACACTGTACTCTGAGTGTTTGTGTATGCATAGATATGTGTGCAGCGCCCACGGATGCACATTTGTAGACCCTTCTCCCTGGACAGAATCAAATGAATATCCAGAAAGTGATTAAAACATGTAGCACAGTTAAGGGATTCATTTACTGTGTGTATATTTTATTCAGAAATAATTCTCTAACAATACATTAGTTTGTCACAGATCTCAACATAATTTTTGATCCAAAGCTATCGAGACACAAAACATTGAAATTCCAAGATGATCCAAAGTCAAAAGTGTAGGGAGAGATGCTGAGGCTTTTGTGTGCGCCACACTCAAATCCAAGAGATAAGAAATCAGAAGATTTCATTGGCACGTCACTCTTGTTTCAATCCTTGTGTCTGGCATAATGTAAACACTTCTTGTAATATCCACTAGACACCTTCACTCTCAGTAGGGTGCCCACGTTTGCACCACCTCCCACGAGACCCTCAGACTTGATTGTGAACATGGGTCCATGTTGCCCATTATATAATTTATCTTGTGAAGATGTATGTGGGATCCTAAGAATGGGGTTTTGAGTGCCAGTAGCCAAGAGCTCAGGGACTGGTAGAAACAAACAGTCTTGGTGAGTTGGAGGCATGAGGGATGACCTGCCTCTGGCCTTAGACCTTGAATCTTTCTCAGAAGGGTAGCTATCCTGTAACCCAGCCTGCCTGCTGGGGCCATGCCACCTCCTCCTTCTGTGCATGGAAGACAGGGGCAGCTTGGGGGTGGTGAGGCTCCCATGGCCTTTGGGATCTCCAACTTGCTGTCCTTCCTGCCACAGTCCCTTGCAGCTTCCCTAGAGGTTTTCTCTCTGAGTGTGACTCATTCTGCTCCTGGTTAGTTTATAAGAAGTGACAAGGTCTTGGTCTGAGGTCACATGGGCAAGGGCCATTGAAAATAATAGGCTACAGTGAAGAGTCCATCTGTGGTAACACTGCTTTAGAGGCAGCTGCCCAGGGCATCCATTTAGACCTTGTGTTTCCCATAATGGGTCTTAATGGCCCTTAATCAAAGGGAGCTCTAGGCCAGGTGTTCGGGACAGAGACGCAAGGATGTTTGGGATTATCTTGCTGGTTCTTGATAGTCAAATACCTGGTAATCAAAGACCAAGAGCGGACCATGGGAGTCAGCAGAGGAAGGCGGGCATGCTGAACTTGGAGAAAAGGTCCTCAGGAAGAAGTGGAACCCCAACTCAGGTTTGGGTACCTCTTAGCACAGACTCATGAATCTCCTGCTGCAATTCACTGAGAGCTGTCTGGAAGCCTAAATGCCATGGCTTCTGAAGCAGACAGAGGGACAGCCCCATTGTTGCAGCATGAGAGTGTGGATCCATGCTGTCTCAGCCCCAGCACAATTGCCCTTCAGGATGGTAACAGCACTTATGGACCCCGTGGATTGCTCAGTGCTCGCGTTCCCCACTTAGGGAAGGAGTTTCCACCAGGTGAATTCCTTCCCTCTGGGGCGTTTCCTGCCTGCAGAACATCTTGAGAAGCACATCATCTGCTCTTGTACACATACCTGCCTGTTTCCATCCATTCTGGCTTTGCTTTTGACTACGGTTCAGTTCCACTGTCAGTGGAGCTACTAGGAAGGTGCCCTGTGTAGGGTTGGTCATAGCTTTGACTCTGAGTACTAACCTTCAAAGGTCGTGACCTTCTGCAGGGAGTCAGGGCAGCTTGCCTTCAACCTCAAATATGTCCTCAAGTAGGATTTCTGAGGTCTTGTTATGCTTTTTCACTTAAAAATGAAAAGAAGATCTTAGCGTGTTCCATAATGCAAATGTTGAGGTACTAATGAGTACTCACTAGTTGAGAACAAATGGTTGAGTATTCCCTAATTCGGAACAAAATTTCAAGAACGAAAACCAGCTGGGCGGAGTTAGTTCCCTCCCTTCCTTTCTGTTGCTGTTATCCATCTTCACATTCTCTCAGGGACTCAGGAGAGAAGCAGGGCCTCCTGGAGCCTGCCCTCCTGCAGTTGATAGTCTCAAGGGCATGTGCTGGCATGGAACGAGGGTACAACGAACAAGAGCAGTACATTTTAATATGCACTGCCAAAATCAAACTCCAAGGACCAAGATTCTGTACAGATAGAGAAAATCAGAGATTATTTATGGTGGATCAGCTGACCAAGGAGGTACCACTTTAGAGGAAGTGACATGGAAGCTTGTTCAATGAATCCAGTTTGCATTACTCGTGGAACTGAAGGCCATGGGTTTAAGATTCAGCCAGTGCCATCCCTCTTGCCACCCAAAGTCTTTATTTCTCCCTCCATTAAAGTAGAAATATCATGCTT